TATGAGGGATCTGGGGTGGCATCCCCCCCACCCCACCCCAGACCCCTCATAGCCCCCCCTTCCGATAGTCCGGCATATCTGATAATCCGGCACCCCCTAGGTCCTAAAGGTGCCGGATTATCAGAAGTTTACTGTATCTATGCTTTTATATCAATAGAACGGTGCCTTATACAGGAGTCATTTATTCCCCTTATGAGAATCGCTGCACTTTTAGACCTGGATTACAGCAGGCACACGAGACAGTCTGTATTGTTTTAACGACTGGGGCATAGTTAAAGGGATACTGTAATTCCTCATTTAACACGTGCCCGCTTCACACGTTTTCGCGATAGCACGATTTTTTTTTAGGGAACATTTTTTGAATTACATGACTGTCCCCGGAATAACACGATTTCCCCAGCTGGCCCATTGCTGGCAGCTGTGCGGGGCTTCTCCCGCCTCCCTGCAAAGCGGTGGAGGGTTTGCTGCTCGCCGCGCCATTCCCCAGCGCCCCCCCCCTCGCCGGACACAGTGCGGGTCCCGGCAGACCCGTCACAGGGACATACTCCCAACCCAATCCTTCTCTCCTCTCCCCTTCAAAGCGAAACCCCTCCCCTCCATGCTGTCAACCAGTCCTCTTTCTCCCCCAACCTTATGTCCCGGTCCCAATAGACGCCACCGCTTGAAACGCAACCCCCACCTTTTCCATTATTTTCAATGGGAAAATTGACCCCGCGTAACACGTTTTCACTTAACACGATCATTTTCTGAAACATCTCAATAGTGTGAAATGAGGAATTACTGTCTGACTTTTGTATCTAAGGGGGCTGGGCAAATACCAGTCTGCTGGCTGCATCTGGTCTGTCAGGGCTAGCCCCCGGTGGGACCCCATCCTGCCATATTTACCTGCATGGCCGCAGGTACGGGCGATCGCAGCTCCTTGGCACAAGATCCCGAGCAATGGGGAATCAGCCCCTTTCTGCACCAGCTGGACACACTATCATAGAGCACTAGAACGGGAAGGGAGCTTGAGAGGTCATTAAGTCCCGTCCCCTGCCCTCACGGCAGAAACAAGCACCTGGATCATCCCTGATAGACGTCTGTCTAACCTGCTCTTAAATATCTCCAGTGATGGAGACTCCCTGGGCAATTTATTCCAGCGTTTAACCACCCTGAAAGTTGGGAAGTTTTTCCTATTGTCCAACCGCAACCTCTCTTGCTACAGTTTCAGCCCATTGCTACTTGTCCTGTCCTCAGAGGCCAAGGAGAACAATGGCTTCTCTCTCCTCCTTGTAACACCCTTTTGGTTTTGCTCCGTAGCTATGGTCAATTCTAGCGCTGGAGGAGGCTACAGCGGTGCAGGCGGGTACGGCTTTGGAGGAGGACTTCACCTGGGAAGCGGAATGGGCAGCAGCGGTCTCTCCTTCTCCTCCGGAGGCAGCCCTGGCGGCGTGACCGCATACTCCATGACCACCACCTCCTCCAGCAGAAGGAGCGTCAGGAAATAGGCTCCGGAAACCAAGCTCGTCACTGCCGGAATATCAGTAAAAAAAAATGCAAAGAAAGAAAAGTTGTATTGTTGTATTGTCCCCTGGCGGCCAACGTGGCTGCAAAATCCTGCCGTGGCGAATGAAATGCCAGGAAGAGCCTTCCCAGAACGTGATCCCTCCACAGAGCACCTAAGGGCTGGCCCTGCCCCACTGAGCTTTGTAAGATCTAGGGTGAAAATCCCCCCAATGCAGAGAACAGGATCATTCGACACTCGACTTAAATCCGACCGTAGCTTTAGGGCTGGGTCTCTGCATGACAGTGAATTTCACCTCCCCAAAGGCAAAACCCTTTGAACATCAGTTTTTTTCCTAAATTTCTGCTTGAATTTGGATCAGAGGAGCCCCCATGAGTAAGGTGCTGACTAGGATGTGGGCATCTAAATAACTTGATGGCTGTGTCTAGACTGGCCAATTTTTCCGGAAAAGCAACCACTTTTCCGGGAAAACTTGCCAGCTGTCTACACTGGCTGCTTGAATTTCCGCAAAAGCACTGACGATCTCATGTAAGATTGTCAGTGCTTTTCCGGAAATACTATGCTGCTCCCGTTCGGGCAAAAGTCTTTTTCCGAAAAACTTTTGTGCAAAAGGGCCAGTGTAGACAGCGCAGATTTGTTTTCCGCAAAAAAGCCCCGATCGTGAAAATGGTGATCAGGGCTTTTTTGCGGAAAAGCACATCTAGATTGGCCACAGACGCTTTTCCGCAAAATGTGCTTTTGCAGAAAAGCATCCTGCCAATCTAGACGTGCTTTTCCGAAAATGCTTTTAACGGAAAACTTTTCCATTAAAAGCATTTCCGGAAAATCATGCCAGTGTAAACATAGCCAAGCTGTTTTGGAAATGCCAGAGGTTAGTTCAGAATCGAAAAACAGCCCTATTTTTGTTAATGAAGGAAATTGGGTAAAATTCTTCCCTTCCTTCCTTCCTTTCTTCTTACTTACATGGGGCCCGTTTTGGGCGCATCTACACTGCAGGGCTTACCTCAAAATAAGCTACGCAAAATGAGCTACATCAGTTGCGTAGCTTATTTCGCAATCGCTTATTTCGAAATTCGGAGCGTCTACACAGCACTTATTTTGGAACAGAGCCGTCTTCCTCCGACTTCACCTGTTCCTGGTACAACGAGGGTTACCAGGAGTCGGAGTAAGAAGTTCTCCAGCGTGACAGTGTTTTGACATTCTTTCGAAATAACCGCCGGCTGTGTAGACGCAAACTAAGTTATTTCGGAATAGCGCTAGTGATTTTGAAATAGTGTTGCAGTGTAGACATACCCTGTCTGAGCAGAAATTAAATGCCCCCCCCCCACCTATACCCTGTCTGAGCAGAAATTAAATGCTCCCCTCCCCCAACTGATATGATGCAAGGTGATTTCGAACAGCTAAAATTCCGGGAGGACTTCAAAATTCTCTCTCATCCCCAGGACAAAGTCTGTGGACTTCAAAGAGATGACACTAGAGTTTCCTGTGTCTAACTGAACTCCTTTTAATCCAGGGACCCAAGTCATGAGCTGGTGCAAACTGATGCAGCTTTCTCCACTGCAGAGGAACTATGGAATTTACTCCAGATGTCCCTCTTAGTTATCCTCTCGGCTCTAACTCTCGTTGGAGTAGCTCTAAGAGGCAGACTTTTCCCACTCTCTTCCTGTTTGGGTACGGATGCCGTGCCACAGCTGTATAGAATCATAGAGCCGGAAGAGACCTCAGGAGTCATCAAGTCCAGCCCCCTGCCCAAGGCAGGACCAACCCAACTAAATCAACCCAGCCAGGGCTTTGTCAAGCTGAGACTTAAATACCTCTAGGGACGGTGATTCCACCCCCTCCCTAGGAAACCCAGCCCAGTGCTTCCCCACCCTTCTATGGAAAGAGTTTTTCCTAATATCCAACCTACACCTCCCCACTGTAACTTGAGACATTGCTCCTTGTTCTGCCATCGTCACTGCTAGGATCAGCCTCTCTCCATCCTCTTTGGAACCCCCCTTCAGGAAGTTGAAGGCTGTTATCAAATCCCTCCTCACTCTTCTCTTCTGCAGTCTAAACAAACCCAAATCCCTCCATTTGTCCTCGTAGGTCATGTGCTCCAGCCCCCGAATCATTTTGGTCGCCCTCCGCTGGACCCTCTCCAGTGCGTCCACATCCTTTCTGTAGTGGGAGGCCCAGAACTATATCAGGTTTTTGTGGTTTTTCCTACAGTATGAGTGATGTCATTTGGACTGGAGGGTTTCATGTGTCTAGTTTAACAAACACTGAATAAAAAGCGTATTGGCTGAGAACTGTAATGCAGGGCAGAGAATGCCTCTACCCGAGTGTTAGGAGGTTTTACAAACCTGATCCGGGGGAGGAAGGGAAGGGTGTGTGAATTGTTTCCTTCATTCTGAGTTCTCTGCCAGAACGAAGGAAGATCGTGCGGAACGAAGGAAGCGATAGAGGATTATAAAATCATGAATGAGGTGGAGGAAAAGAACTGTCATTAAGACACTTCCCTGTCCCACCACCCAAAACGTAGGGTCACCCAATGAAATTGGTAGGCAGAAAATGAGGCAATCCTTTTTCAGACAGTGTGGAACGCCGTGCCAAGAGATGGAGTGATGGCCAACGTGATAACGGGGTTCAGCATCACACTAGCGACGTTACCAGCAGATAGCTCCATGATAGGTTAGTTAGGCTGGTCAGGGATTTAATCCCAAGATCCTGGCACCCCCTAAATAGCTGACGGGCAGATGCTGGGAGGGGAAGAAGCAAGAACTTCTTAGTTCTCTGCACTTCCCCGGAAGCTCTCATCCTTGGAGGCAGGACGAGTTATGCCCAAGTGGTCTTCTTGGCGAAACGTGTGGTGAGAACTGCTAACTACCCCCATTCGCATTGTTTTGTGGTGACTGTATTAGAGAGAGGGGGGAAAAATTCCCTGTGCAGAACGTTGTGTTGCGTTATCGGCCCTAGCTTCTCCGCAATGCAGCCGTGGCAGCCGTTTGCTGGGTTTGTGCTCTGACTGCACATCGTGCGCCTTCAATAAAGTTACCCTGTTGTGTTCCTTCGCAACCACAGTTGCGTTTCTTGCTGACGGCGTTCTGCTTGTGGAAGGTGGGGACGGGAAAGTCTGGATGCTTCTTATGACCTCCTAGGAGATGGGCCTGGCGTGGCTCAGGTCCTTAATGCAAAAAATGTTGCGGTGCTCTGGGGTGGGGCTGGTTCAGGGCGCAGGCTTCCCCCACGGAGAGAGGGCAACCCCAGACCTCACTCACCAAAGCAGCTTGGGGCCAGGTGAGAAGCGCCTCTCCATGGCTACTGCACGTCCAACGGGCAGCCGGGGGAGGGATGCATCTCCCCCTAAGCCCACCGCAAAGGGCACCTGGGTTGTGGAAGGCTCGGGGCAGGGGTGGCTGGGAAAGGTAAGCACTAACCCCGCCCCTTCTGCCAGAAGCCACACCCAACCCCAGCTCTTAAGCCTGATCCTTTTGGCCACCTGGAGAGCCAGGGCTGCCGTGCTGTGTCCCCAGCCCTCCGCCTCGGCCAAGCAATGTTGGAAAGGCAACGCCTTCCCTTGCCTATTTTACCCACCACCCGCGATTGCAGGATATGGCGGGGTGCATTTAATCTGGTTGGCATGGTGGTGTCTTTTTCTATGCCCCTATCCGCAAAGTGTGAAAAATGCCTAGTGAAATATGTCGGCAAGGATATCGGGACGATTCCTCCCAAACCGTTTTTACAATACAGCTTTGCTGTGCAAACATCTTCCCCCGGGTTGTGGTCGACAGCAGCAGGCTGGCCAAGTTGCCGGTGTTGCTTAACAAAAGAAGAGTTGAGACTAGATCAACCGCTGCTGCTATTTCAATGGATGGAAGAGCCCCGAATGGAGCCAACATCCCTTCTGCGCTTGGTTTGAAACCCCTGCCAAACTGTTCCCCACGCGCTACGTATCGCTGGGGGGCAAGCTTTATTTTCGCCCTCAGACGCAGTGTGGCCAGCCCTCAATGATCAAGGTGTCTGGCTCTCCCCAAACCATTCGATTGGCTGAAAACGCAGGCGTTTAAAAAGAATAATAAATAGGGGGTTCTCTGGGAAGGGAGGGGTCTGGTAGGAGAGACAGTTCTACTGCAGAATGACCACAAGGGGGCAGCAAAGAGCCAGAGATGGGGACCAGGACAGCTCTAACCCCACTGAACCAGCAGGCCCACCCCCTCACTTTCACCTTCCCTGTCTCTTCATCTTATGCCCATTGGATTCGGTTCCTTGGTATCTCCGGCGTACTGACAATATTCTTTCCAATCACACGGTGTTACAATGCTTGTCCAAGCAAGCTGGCTCCTTGGAATTCTTTCCCTCTCCTGGAGCGCCCACTTCTCCCTTGAACAAACATCATCTTTGGGGACCCCCTGCCACACTCGGGGGCCTGGCAGGCCTTCGCTTTGCCGTTTGGCTCAGTCTGTGCCCGTGCATGCAGAAACAAGGTGGGACACGTCACGGTAAGGCAGTGATGATAGCTACCTGGATTTCAGGATTCCAGTATTTCATTAATAACTGATCCACTCTCCATAGCTCATCATCCCTTACCTGGGGACCTGATGGTGTTAGGGGCGGTAAAAGCAGGGGCTGATGGTAGCATTTCTGAGAGTCCCTCTCTTAGAACAACTACAATTCTCATTTTTATCCATTGCTCAGTTTATTGGGAAAATGGAATCGAACAAAGATGGAAGCAAATAAGAGTCACAGCAGCAGGCAGTTATTAAGACACCAGCTGCACGTCCGTGGCTTGCTCTTCACAATGAGTCAGGGCATAGTGAACCGGTGCCATTAGCTAACAACACAGAATACACTGTAGGAGCTGGAACACAATAGATCTTCAGATTCATAGCTGGCTCCCGCTGGTGGGAGGAAAGGCACTGAACTGCGAGACTCTGTGGGTTTCCCTGTCTCACGGAGGCCTTTTTCTGAGCTGCATGTCTCCACAAACGATTGGATTCCTCAATACATACAGCATACTAACGATCTACTCTCTAATCAAAGGGTGTTACAATGCTAGCTCTCAATAACCCAGGAGGAGAAGGAAAATGTCGGAAGACCAGTTTTGTAAAACTAAATCACAGGGTGCAAAGTCTCAGCGGGGTGGCTGTGTTAGTCGGTTTCTGCAGAAACAACGAGTCCTGTGGCACCTTAGAGACCAACAGGTTGATTAGGGCATATGCTTTTGTGGGTAAAACCCACTTTATCAGATGAATACCCACAAAAGCTTATGCCCTAATCCATCTGTTAGTCTCCAAGGCCACATCTTCACTGCCGTGATCAATCTTCCGGAGCTTGATTATGCGGGTCTAGTTAAGACCTGCTCAATCGAACTCAGAGGGCATGGATTCCTCATTGTGAATCACAGGTGCCTAAGAACAGCACCCAGCGCAGAAATTAAAAATGCGTCAGGCAGCAAGCAACGCAGAAGGGGCTGTCATCTTTAAAATCCCCCAATGACATTAGTGCTGGGAGCAGGGACGCCACAAGGCGAGGCCTCTCCGGAGTGCTCATTTAACATTTTGTTCTGCAGGAGCTGGTGGTAGAGACATATTTGACAGTAGAGCTCCTTCCACTGCCCGTGCTATACGCAATGGGAGGGACGCATGGTGCACACACATCTCCCAAGCCTCTGCCAAACCTGGCATCGCACACCCCTCCGCTGCTAACCACACCGCCCGTTTTGAGGAGTGCTCTGCTGCTGGATGTGAAGCCGCCGCCGAAGCAGGGGTCGCTTTCACACACCAGCCCCCCCTGGGATCTGCACACCGCTGGGGGGAAAAAAGAAAAAGCAAGAGATTATGGTCCGGTTTATGGCTTTTGCTGCAAATGATGCATCATGTCGGACTTCTCAGAAAGTGAAAACTCCTGATACTTACAAACATTGACAGGGAAAACACCTTCTCCACAGAGCCTAGCAGGAGAAGAAAACAAAGAAAGTTTGAAATGTAAGAAACCAAGTGTTTTAGCTATGTGCTGATTATGATTAGCTGTATAATTAATTAGCTGTATGTGCAGCAAACAAGGACTGTGCTTAGGAAACTTGCAATTTGGCTGTCGGACACACACCAACACTGTTCATTTCTTTTTTTCGGCACAAGCATGGGCAGCTTCTACTCCTGCAAACAGACCTAGTGCGTGAATTGTTCAAAAACGGGTAAGTGCATTAGGAGCCTAAGCGATCATGATTTCAAAAGGGATTAAACTTCCTAAACAGAGCTGGGCAAATCACTGATTTGCTAAGTCAATGACAGAACTGAAGAATAAAGAAAAAAATATTTGGGGTCCACCTGAAACAGGGAAGAAAATGTCCAGGGAAAAATTCTTTTAGGTGGAACGAAATGTCTCCATCATCTTGAAACGAAATGCTGGGTTTCATTTGCTATGGTTTGGTTTTTTCCAAAAAAGTTTTTGTGGAAAACAAACGACATTTTGAAGCGAAAAGGAATTTCAGATGGGAAATTTCATTTGGAAGATGTCAAACCGAAACCTTTTATTTTTCCTCTAATTTTTTTAAGTGTCATAATTTGGTAAATTTAGCCTGAATAATAATAATTGGTCATTTGTAATCATCTATAATTTGGAAATTTTAGCTTGAATTCATCAAATGTTCCAGGCACCCTGAATCTGCTTTTTTTCACTAGGAAAAAGTTTCAGCTGATTTTCTCCGAGCTCAGTTTCTAAATCACCAATCGGTTTCCCCACGGGATAAGGTGACTTGCAAGTGGATGGACTCACGCTGGGAGAAAGGGTTGCTGGGTTGTGCTCTTCGTTTTGACAGACATTTGAAATTGACCTTTATTCTTTCCTGATCAGTGATTCGCAGGCTCCTGCTGTGAACCTACCTGCTCTCCTCCCCTTCCAGCAGCTTGCGGTAGGTGGCGATCTCGATATCCAGAGCCAGCTTGACGTTCATCAGCTCCTGGTACTCCCGCAGCTGACAAGCCAGGTCCTGTTTGGCTTTCATCAGAGCCGCTTCTAGGTCAGTCAGTTTACACTTGGCGTCTTTGAGAGCCATCTCTCCTCGCTCTTCAGCCTCTGCGATGGCTCCTTCCAGCTTGCATCGCTGCAGGGACAGGACATAAACTCATTAAATAACAGAAATGAAGAGATCTATATAACGGCAGGAGAAGTATCTGCCAGTTGTGGGACCTGTCTTCATGAGGCTGTTGGAGCATGGATTTAAAAGTAGCCGTTCTTCTACAATGAAATGTCACTAACCAATTAGGGCACGTCTACACAGCAGGGAAAAAGTCGAATTAAGCGATGCAACTTCAGCTACATCAATTGCGTAGCTGAAGTCGAAATGGCTCAATTTGGCTTTTGGGGCTGTCTACGCAGCAGGAAATCAAAGGAAAAGCACTCTTCCTCCGATTTCCCTTACTCCTTGTGAAATGAGGGTCGGAGTAAGAAGTCCTCCAGCTCGACATTATCTTGAAATAACAGCTTGCCAGGTCAAGTTATTCTGAAATAACTCTGCTGTGTAGACATAGCCTTACAGAAAGAGTCTGCAGAACTGGAATTTCTCTGCAGATCTGACACCATTACTCTGGGCCTAAAGAAAGACATTAACTAGCTGGCGCATTACAAAGCCAATTCCCCTACCTTTAACATCCACATTTCCACATCAGAACCTATGAATGGGACACATTCAGTCCACTTAATTAGCCTCATTAACACGGGTCTTACAATTGACAGTTTCTTCTCCTGCCATTATATAGATTTTTTTGGTTTCTGTTATTTCTATTCCAAGTCATCTGAGGAAGTGGGTTTTGCCCACGAAAGCTCTTGATTCTAGATATGTTGGTTAGTCTTTAAGGTGCTACAGGGCTACTCGTTGTTTTTAAACTTACCGTCTAACACAGCTACCTCTCTGAGATTTTTTTAGACAGCTAGGTGTCAGCTTCACACTACAGGCCTCTACCACTTGAGTTAACAGACTAACTCTTTTAGTTGGTAGCAGTAGTATGCTATTATCCCCCCATGGTGTGGTCACTAGTCTAGGCAACAGCAGTTCCTCACAACAGTTTAGTGGCACAGCCTTGTCTGTCATTAAGATTTTTTACTGCTGAGCTGTTATGATGGGGCGGTTTTGGATGACCACTTAGCCCAGGACCCTTTACGTAGCATTTGTGTGTTATCAGTGACACATTGTAGCCCCCAGGCCAGCCTCACACACTCACATGGGCTTTTGCGCTTTCCAGTTCTCCATGAAGTCTCTGAATCACTCGGTTCAGCTCCATGATCTCATTCTTTGTGCTATGCAGGTTGTCACAGTGTTTGCTCGCAGTGACCTTCAGCTCCTCATACTGAAGGGAGACAGAAGAAGCAATTATAATAAATTGACCAGCAGAACAGGAACATCCCAATGGTTTGTTCCATGTTCCCCAAATGGAGCAGCTCACTCAGCTGTCAGACACTTGCTAGAGCTTTGAAAGGGGAGGGGCGCATGGATGCAGGGCAGCAGAGATCACAGAACACTGAGCAGAGCCAGCAGGGCAGGCATGGTGGGATACATACGGAAGCCAATTCACTTCACAAAACAAACAGCAGAGTCCATGCTAGCTCTTTGTCAACAATAAAGGGAGGGGAAAAAACAAAAATCTCCTGCAGGGCTGGAAGTTTTTTGTTGCCAAAACTGGGTGTTTCCCCCAACAAAAGTCGCATGGCAGTGCAAACGCTTTCTCTGTTTTGGCACCAAAAGGCAGGTTTTGGTGATAAAACATACCAGCATAGATACACCCCTTTGTCTTAAGGCAGTTTCGGCTGGGTAATAGCATGCATTTCATTCACAGTCTGTCATTTCATGGGTTTCTTGAATTACAGAGAGCCCGTTTCCGGTCTCTGTGCTCTCTCATGCCTGTGAATTGAACTATTTCCACGAGGAGATCTGTGGAAGGGCCATCCAGAATCCCGTTCTCTCTGGGGGGGACGCACCTTGCTCTGGTACCAGGACTCAGCCTCAGCGCGGCTCCTGTTGGCAATGTCCTCGTACTGTGCTTTGACGTCCGCGATAATGTCATCCATGTTCAGGCCCCGGCTGTTGTCCATTTGCACGACAACAGAGGTGTCCAAAATGGATGCTTGGAGGCAAGCAAGTTCCTGCAGGAGACATGAAATTCATCAGGCGTTTGCTCTCGAGGGCGCTTTCCTGGCCCCCGTTTTCTACTTTCTACCTGTTTCGTAGTTTCAGGTTTAATCTAAAATGGAGGATTTATGATTTGAAGGCACCTGATTTTCAGTGAGACCTGCCCTTTAGCTTCCTTTTTCCAGCAAGCTTGATTGATACCATGTCTACACTGGAACTACATCGCTGTAAACCCTGAAGCATAAGCCTGTTAGAAGGTGTTTGTCACTGTAGGAACATATCCACCTGGTGCGATCAAATTTCTGCACCGTCCCCACTGCAGGAGTCCAATGAGAAAAACCCTTCAATTTCCCTTACTCCCGGGTAGAATACCCAAGTTGAGAGGGATGCAATCAGCGATTGATTTAGTGGGTCTTTACTAGACCCACTAAATCAAAGCCCAGGAAATCAACCTTCCCAAGCCTCCCAAAGAGATTTTCCAATTTCAGTTCCCTGCCATGGCCGGGGTCGCAGACACTGATGCATCCTGGATCCTCCAGCCCCCTGCTTGTGGCACATGGTACTTCATTCACCTGTGAAAATTTAGCCTTATCCAGGTCATTGGCTCCACACAATGGAAGCTGGGTGGAGTTTAGGGTGACACAGGAAGTCCAACTAGATGATCTGGTGTTCCCGTCTGGCTGTAAACTCTTTGACTCTTAGACTAAGGGCTTGTTTTCACTTACCCCAAGATCTATGCTCTGGAGATCGATTTCCCAGGGTTTGATTTAGCAGGTCTAGTAAAGACCTGTTAAATCAACCACTGATGGCACCCCACTCAACCCTGGTGCTCTACCAGGTTGGGAGGAACAAGGAAGTTGATGAGAAAGTTTCTTCCATTGACCACCCACAGCGCGGATGCCGCAGAAATTTGACCTAAGGTATGTTGACTACAACAACACTATTCTCATAGCTGGAGTTGTGTATCTTAGGTCAACTTTCTCTGGTAGTACCAATAACGAGGAGTCTTGTGGCACCTTCGGCCAGGTCTACACTGGTGAGATAAGATACGCAACTCCAGCCACGTGAATTGCGTAGCTGGAGTTGGTGTACCATGCACCAATGTTTTGGGGCAGCCCCACAGTGGGAGCTCGATGGGAGAAATCCTCCCTTCGACTTCCCTTACTCCTTGGGATGGGGATGGCATCAGCATTCGATTTAGCAGGTCTTTCCTAGACCCGCTAAATCGAACCTCTGAGGATCCATCATCTGAATGTTGATCCTTCAGCAAGTGGAGACAAGGCCTTAGAGACTAACAGATGTATTAGGGCATACGTTTTTGTGGGTAAAACCCACTTCAGACTAACACGGCTATTCCTCTGAGACCTTTCTCCAGTAGTGTAGACCTGGCCTTAGGGAGCGTAGCCCCCAAATCCCCATGAATTTTGCCATTCTCTCATAAAACCCATTGGAAAATACCAGCATTCCTTGTTTTCCTTTTCCTCATAAAAGGCCGACTGGCGTACGAAATGGCATTACCTCTTCATACACGCATCTCAAGAAGTCGATTTCGTTGATGAGGGAATCCACCCTGGCTTCCAGTTCGGCCTTGTTCATGTAGGCACAGTCCACGTCCTGCGGAGGATTGGAAACCCAGTGAGAGAACTTCTAATTGCCGATAAGACATGGCATTACCTCTTCATACACGCATCTCAAGAAGTCGATTTCGTTGATGAGGGAATCCACCCTGGCTTCCAGTTCGGCCTTGTTCATGTAGGCACAGTCCACGTCCTGTGGAGGATTGGAAGCCCAGTGAGAGAAGTTCTAATTGCCGATAAGACATTTTGGTTCATGCTAGAGCAAAGTCGGGTGAATAACTCAGTCCCCTGGATTGTCACCACTAAGCAGTTTAATTTTTCCATACGTGACCCAGAAGGCTTGAGACCACTACAGCCTTAGCTAAGAGCCTGCTGGCTTTTAGGTCATGTGGCTTGAACTCCTAAGGTCACAGATTCGATCGCACTGGCTCTGTCGGTGTTACACGTTAATTTATTCTTTCCGACTATATTTTTACAGCTAAAAAAATCACTAGACATTAGAAAGGACGATAAATAGGTCACTTCCATCGACCAGCCAAATGGTCTGTTACATCGACAATCAGAATGATCGAACCAGGGGAAAACCAGGCAGCTAGTGGGAGATTTTAAAAAGGTTCAAAGGGCATCTAATTGCTTTTGGAAGTCGATGGGAGTTGGGGAGCGAATATGTTTGAAAATCCATACTGTGGAGCTGGGTCTAGACTGGCATGATTTTGCGGAAATACTTTTAACGGAAAAGTTTTTCCATTAAAAGCATTTGCGCAAAAGAGCATCTAGATTGGCACGGATGCTTTTGTGCAAAAGCATCCATGGCCAGTCTAGATGTGATTTTGCACAAGAAAGCCCCCGTGGTCATTTTCGCCACCGGGGCTTTTTTGTGCAAAACGGTTCTTCCCTGTCTACACTGGCCCTCTTGTGCAAAAACATTTGCGCAAGAGGGCTTTTTCCCGAGCGGGAGCGTTAGTGTATTTGCACAAGAACACTGACAATCTTACATTAGATCGTCAGTGTTCTTGTGCAAATTCAAACAGCCAGTGTAGACAGCTGGCAAGTTTTTGGGCAAAAGCGTTTGCTTTTGCGCAAAATCTTACCAGTCTAGACACACCCTCGGATTCTAACTAAGTGGTTTAATTTGCAAAGGTTGGCAGATACACACAGCCCCCAGGGTCTTGAGAAGGTGTTAGAGATTTTCAAAAGTGATTTCCAAAAGAACTCGGCTCCTGTTTAACAACTCAACCCAGATTATCCAAAATGCAGTCACCTCTTCCACCTGCTGAGTATGAAATTTTCTGAATGAAGCTTTTCTGGAGTGAAAAAAGCAGATTCAGTGACACCAAAATCATTTTTGGCTTCATGCTGGTTTCATCAAATTGTTCTTAGTAAACAAAAACGCTCCTAAAATTAAAATGCCTCATTTTGACATTTTCAGAAGGCAAGGTTTTCATTTTTTGCTTCACAAGGCCTTTTTGTTTCAACATATCCTTTAATTGTACCAGAAAAGCATTAAAACCATTTTTAAATGCTCACAATCAAAGTGAAATTTTGGTTCAACCTGAAACAATTTTTTTCTCCCAGGTTTTTCAGAATTGCCAGCAAACCAACAAATGCATTAATCATCCAGCAATCGTGCTGTGCAATTTTGAAAATCTGGCCTTAAATGCCTCTGATAAGAGAAATTAGAGTTTCTATGAAATATACAACTTCACAACCTCTAACGGACAAAGACTGTAAGATAATATTTTCAAAACAACCAAGTGGTGTAGAGGCACAAACGACATTTTGAAAAGTGACATAGACATTTAGGCCTGGTCTAAGCTGGGGGAGAAAATAGATGTAAGGTACGCAACTCCAGCTATAAGAATTGCATAGCTAAAGTGATACTTTACATTGATTTTCTGGGTCGGCCCCACAATGAGAAGTTGATTTCTCCCATTGACTTCCCTTACTCTTTGTGACTATGAGGAGTACCAGGGTTGATAGGGGTGCCCTCAGCATTCGATTTAGTGGGTCCTTACTAGACCCTCTAAATCAAACTCTGGAAGATCGATCTTTGGAGTGTCGATCCTCCATAAGTATAGACAAGGCCTTAGGAATCTAAATGCGACTGTCTTCCAATGAGACACATGGTTAGGTATTTCGATACCTAGAGTTGCAGATAATATGTCTAGTGAGATTTTTAAAAATCACCTAGGTGAGTCTGATGCAAGCAACACCCTCGGGAGTTAAGTACCTAAATATCTTTAAAGATACTGGTCTCCAAAGTCACATAGGTATACCTGAATTTTTTTTTCACCTCTAACCACCATTTCACAAATTCTTTTTCAGGTGGTTAAAAATGGAAAAACAACTTGAAACATTTTTTACATTTTTTCAGGATGAAATAAGTGAATTTTCAACAATTCAGTTGCTGAATTGCTTTCCCCCATCCCAGCTCTACTTGTGCGGAAACATGAGCTGTGCATTGTTTTCCCTTCAAATGAGTTAAAAAGCAATATGTGTCATCTGTGTGCCTCTTGAAATTTGGGCAGTGGGCGTTTTTGAGGTAGTTCGCTGTCGGTGCATAGCTCACCTTCTTTAGTACGACAAACTCATTCTCAGCACATGTCCGGCGGCTGCATTCCTCTTCATATCTGAGGGGGAAAGAGAGAGGATTCTTTTTTGTTCAGTTGTTCGGTTGAGAAAACATTGTGGATCTAAAACACATCCACACACTCTCAAAAAAAACCTCCCAAAACGGAGTGCATTTTGCAATTCCAGAACAGCGGCAGATGTTTTGGTGAACTCGGCCAGTTGCTGTAGCATATTTTCTGCATTTGAAGATTTTGCTGTTTTTGTCATAAGAACATAAGAATGGCCGTACTGGGTCAGACCAAAGGTCCATCTAGCCCAGTAGCCTGTCTGCTGACAGTGGCCAGCACCAGGTGCCCCAGAGGGGGTAGACCGAAGGCAATGACCAAGCAATTTGTCTCGTGCCATTCTTCTCCAGCCTCTGACAAACAGAGGCCAGGGACACCATTTCTATCCCCTGGCTAATAGCCTTTTATGGACCTAACCTCCATGAAATTATCTAGCTTCTCTTTAAACTCTGTTATAGTCCTAGCCTTCACAGCCTCCTCTGGCAAGGAGTTCCACAGGTGGACTACACGCTGTGTGAAGAAGAATTTTCTTTTATTAGTTTAAAACCTGCTACCCATTAACTTCATTTGGTGTCCTCTAGTTCTTCTATTATAGGAACTAATAAATAACTTTTCTTTATTCACCTTCTCCACACCACTCATGATTTTATAGACCTCTATCACATCCCCCCTTAGTCTCCTCTTTTCTAACCTGAAAAGTCCCAGCCGCTTGAACCTCTCTTCATATGGGACCTGCTCCAAACCCATAATCATTTTAGTTGCCCTTTGCTGAACCCTTTCTAAGGCCAAAATATCTTTTTTGAGGTGAGGAGACCACATCTGTCCACAGTATTCCAGATGTGGGCATACCATAGTTTTATATAGGGGCAGTAAGATGTTCTGTGTCTTATTTTCTATCCCTTTCTTAATAATTCCTAACATCCTATTTGCCTTTTTGACCGCCGTTGCACGCCGTGTGGAAGTTTTCAGAGAACTACCCACGATAACTCCAAGATCTCTTTCCTGATTTGTCATAGTCAAATTAGCCCCCATCATACTGTACGTATAGTTGGGGTTATTTTTTCCGATGTGCATTACTTTACATTGATCCACATTAAATTTCATTTGCCATTTTGTTGCCCAATCACTCAGTTTGGTCTTTCCACTAAAAAACGTTGATCTTTACGGTAAGGCATTTGAATCTATGTATTGTTTTAAATCTCCACTGTCGTGCACATTTTTGATTGTTATCTGTTTAGATTTTCACACGTGCAGGAAATTATAGGCGGGAGGATATCAGAGATTGGGTGGGTCAGACAAGAATGATTTAATGACACTAGACATTGATGTTCAAAACCGTAAGGCCTGGTAACCACTAAAGACAGTCAACAACACGCGTCAGACTGTACAAAGTAAATTTCATTAAGCCAACCTTTAAAGAGCTCTCAAGTAGGATTTCACTTACTTTGTCTATCTGTAAATTGATGGAAATATTTCTTCATTGGTTTGTGTGTGTATCGTGAAATTGACGTTTTCAGCTACAACATCTTATTATTCCAACCCGGGTTTTACATATCAAGTGGGCTGGCACCAGACTTCCCTGGGCAAGGAGGGGAGGGGCGTGGCTCTTGACCTGTGGAAGGGGAGGAGCCTCGGGTGGGAAGGGGTGGGGCTGAGGACTTAGCATTTCTCAGCCAGTCCTTCAGCACTGTCCAGGATCCGTCCTCTGTGACGGTTGTGGTAGCAGCCGCCAAGAGTCCAATCACCTGCCCCTTTTGACCTCCCCCTGTGGGCGGCTCTGTGCATCCACCCTTGAGGCATCTGCTGAGATCTCTACTTAGCTAAAACGTTGAAAAGTTCTCTTCAAACCGACTATTTAATGAATAACCACAAAGAGTGTAATGTATAACTATCCCAAAGTAATAACATGCAATTATGAATTATTATTATTCCAATCACACCTCAGGGGCTCCAGGAGAAAGATTTCATTGCGCCAGGTACTGTCACTATAAAAAGGTGCAGAATAAATAACATATTGACAAACTTCGAGTTCTCCAGCTAGTTCCCAAGGTGCAGCTTTTCAGCAGAGACAAGGAATGGCTAATAAACCTGAAAATATCATAATGCCCCGCTACACATCCCCAGTATGGCCGCACCTTGACTCCCATGTGTCACGCTAGCTGCTCCAGCTTAGAAAAAAACGATCTTCGGATTGGGAAAAGTGTGGAGAAAGGCAACAAAAACGGGTAGGACATCTACGCTATTTAATCCAGTGTTTAACCAGTGAGAACATTTTTTCCTAATGCCCAACCTAAACCTCCCTTGTGGCAGTTTAAGACCCTTGCTGCTTGTCCTACCCTCAGAGACCAAGGAGAACCGTTTTTCTCCCTCCTCCTTGTAACACCCTTTTAGGTACTTGAAAGCTGTAATTATGTCCCCTCTCAGTCTTCTGCTTTCCAAACTAAACAAGCCCAATTCTTTCAGTCTTCCCAACTTGGTCATGTTCTCTCGACCTTTGATTGTTTTTGTTGCTCTTCTCTGGACCTTCTCCATTTTCTCCACATCTTTCCTGCAATGCGGTGCCCAGAACTGGACACGAGACTCCAACCGAGGTCTAATCAGAGCAGAGCTGAGCACATCTTTCCTGCAATGCGGTGCCCAGAACTGGACACGAGACTCCAACCAAGGTCTAATCAGAGCAGAGCCGAGCAGAAGAATGATTTCTCATGCCCTGGCTCACAACACTCATGTCGCAGAACGACTGTTGCTTTTTTTATGGGGGGCGGGGCCGCAGAATCTTTGCACCACTGGGTAGTAATGTAGGCGTCTCCCATGGAAAAGGTGTATCTGATACAGCCTGCCTGTAGTCCAAAGCCTCTCCACCCTTTTGGATAGCGGTGAGTCAGGGTTCTAACAACAGTGCATGCATGTTTGGAGACATTACTTTAACAACCTATTATTAAACTGCGTCGTGTTACTTACTTTCTCTTGTAATCCTCCAACACGTCCTGTATGTTGCTCAGATCTGTCTCCAGCTTAGCTCGGTCGAATCCCAGAGTCTCCAGCTGCCTTTTCATGTTATTGATATAAGCGTCAAACATGGGCTCCATGTTGCTCTGGTAGCATTTTTGTTCCCGCAAAAGGTTCCACTTGGTCTCCAGCACCTTGTTCTGCTGCTCCAGGAATCGGACCTGAATCCCAAAAGGAAGTTTGCTTTGAAGCATTCAAAACCTACCGGAGTGTTAGACCGGAAACAATTAGGAACAAGTGGTTCAGACAGGAACGAATTCAAGGAAGTCCTATGGCTTGTATTCTACCGAAGCTGGTCCCTTCTGGCTTTGCCATCTATGAAATCTTTGATGTTACTGCCAGACTGGATTCCCCAGAATCAGCAACATGAGAAACCAAAGACATTAGGCAGAGAAATGGAAAACCCCCCACAAATGTAAAATTCTGAGGCCATCTCTTTCTAAACAAGGTTATTCTAAAACATCCATATATTTTAGAGATTTTGTCTGTCTGTTTGATCAGGAACTCCTCCTAAACAGTCACAGTTCGGACCACCACAGTTGGTATACAGCTTCCTCTTCTAACTTAAAGCAACGTGTGGGTTTGGTTGTGCCAGGAAAACGGGATGTGCTTGAAATGGGACTGCTTCTCATAAAACCAGGCTGAATCACCAAAACAAAGAAAATGCTCAAAATTGACATAACTGCGTGAAAGTTGAAAGAAACTGAGTCAGAAAAATAGGATGGACGTGAACTAGGATTGTTTCTCAAGAAACTGTTTAGAAAAACGATCACACACAGAAATTTGGAGTAGTGATCTTTTTTGGCACAGTTAGATCAATGCTTAAGGTTTGAAAACTATTGGTAACCTAATTGACTATAGCCCTTTTTTGTTAAAACATAGCAGATGTTTGAAAACTATTGGTAACCTAATTGACTATAGACCTTCTTCGTTAAAACATAGCAAATAAGAAGAGTTTCTAGGGATGAAGAAACAAAACACACTTAGATGGAATTCCCAAATTACGGACCTGAGGAATGCTGGGTAAATCTGCTAGTACTGTTATACGTGAGAAATAGATCAATTCATTACAGAGAAAGCGACGTGTACAAATTGGCTGATAACATTGTTGAAAAAGCACAGAGCCAAGACATCCTCTCACCCCAGTGTAAATCGGAAGTAACGCCGCTGAAATCGACACAGTTATGCTGGTGTGGAACTGGTGTGAGAGCAAACACGGGGCTGTCTAAAATTTACATTAGCAACTTGGAATCTGATTCTTATTTACGTTCGAACCACTGTGTCCCGCTTAAATAGCATATTCACATCCCCCAGTAAGGCCCCTTTGCATCGCTGGCGTTATGCAGAGTGGTCTTAGTGTAAATGAGAATTAGCCCCTAAGGCTTGATCTACTCTACAGCAAGAGGTCAACTTAAGATACGCAGCTCCAGCTACGTTAATGGCATAGCTGCAATCAGTGTATCTTAATTCCACATTTCTGTGCTGTCCACATAGAATCATAGAATCATAGAATAATAGGACTGGAAGGGACCTCGAGAGGTCATCGAGTCCAGCCCCCCGCCCTCAAGGCAGGACCAAGCTCCGTCTACAGAGGCTGATGGAAACAAACACTCCCATCAGGTTCCCTTATTCCTTGTGACTGCGAGGAGTACAGATGCAGGCCAGAGCTGCCCTCAGTGTTTGATTTAGTGGGTCTATACTAGACCCACTAAATCGAACGCCAGAAGATCAACCTCTGGAGCATCTATCTGCCAGAAAGAATAGACATGGCCTCACTGTAATTTTAGGCTAAGATTTGGGAACCCCAAATCCCTTGGACATTTTGGACGCCTAAAAATGGTAGGAAATCTCAGGCTTCATCTTTGAATGGCCTGCGCTAGTTGCGTCTCCCACTCCGGTGGCAAGGGGCGAAGGTGGCGCCCGCCCATCTCACCTTGTCAATGAACGAAGCGAATTTGTTGTTGAGGCATTTGATCTGCTCTTTCTCCTGATATTTCACCGACTGCACGTTGGGGTCGATCTCGATTTTGAGGGGCTGCAGGAGGTGTGGGTTGACGTGGACGGGCGTGATGGGGGGTGGACACGGCCCCCCGCTGCCGCCCGCTCGGTAGCCAAAGCCAGCTCCGCCATAGCCATAGGCGAGACCCGCACTCCCGACACCGTAGCGCGCCGAACGACAGCTCCCCACGGCCATTCGGGATTTGCCGGAGGCCGAGCCGCTGAGACTTCGGCTGCCGAAGTACCCCAGGCCTCTATAGCCCATGCTACCGCCCCCCCGAGAGGAGACCGTGCTGACACTATAGTGCTTTACGCTTCTTGGCATGACAGCCGAGGATGAACTGAAACTCCGGACCCCGCCACCTCCCGAGCAAACGTGATAGGACCGGCAAGACATGGCGGCAGAGTGGAAGAGGAAGGACGGCAGACGGCAAAAAGAAATGCTTCAGCAAGGCAGCAGAATGAAAAGAAGCCAAGCGTGGCTCCCTCTGACATCTCACTCGATGGCTGGGCCTTTTATTCTGTTCGGAGAACGGGCCTGGGCCGGTTAACGAGGCTGTTTATGAGCTTGGGGTGTGAGCCCCACACTGCACTTTTCATTGAGCAAGAACTAGAGCGATACTGAAATGCACCTGCCGTTACATTATTCAAAGACAGTCCGGTTTCATCGCCGGGGAGCCCAGCTCTATAAAACCCGCATTTGCAAAACTCCCTTTTTTTAATCACCGGGATGGAAGCGACGCACCAAAAACCCTCTTGTGATGGGCTCCGAATTGGGAAAGAGGTCATTTTCTTGTGGGAAAAAATGCACCTGGTTTATTAAAGTCGCCCGCACAGGCGTGGGAATCGAGCGTGTTGTCAGCGTCTGATGTCAGCGTAAGTCTGGTGTAACTCTACCAGCGGCTCCGAGTGCTTCTGAACGGGTGTTGTACGGCTGTAAAAACCCCGGCACCTGTGGTTTATGTTAGTACTAGAGGATTTACTTGCCATGGCTCGGCTCCTTAGCTCACCTAAGTTTTGTTTTTCATCATTGCAATCAGTGCTCTAGAGTGGGGCTGGGGAGCAGGGGGGCCATCTGCCCCAGAGAGAGAAGACACCCCCAGCCCTCTTCCGCTGCTTGGGGCCAGGGGAGAAGCACCTTTCCCTGGACGCTGTAGTTGCCAACCCCCGTCGGCCGGCCTGGGGGGAGCTCAGCATCTCTCAGGACTGGACTCGAGGCCCTGAGACGTGTATTAGTCAGCCGGCACCTGCGGTAGAACGAAAGCCACAAAATTAGCTTCCCCTTGGTCTCTCGCGGGTTGATCATCGTGGACACGGAATGACCGTGGGACAACCGGCTTGTCTGAACCAGCCCTGCCCACGCCTGCCGAACCGACACAGACGGGTGAGTGCCGGTCGTAGCTGACTTGGCATCGCCCTGGGGTGCCAGGACGTCACCCCATCGTGGCCTGGCAGCTCCCCTGGCAGGTGAGGAGGAGGGGCAGAAATGGGGCTCCACCACCCTTCTCCCCTTGCCCCACCATTATGGGGGTGTGATGGTGTGGCGGAGTCCCTCAGCCCCCCAGGCTCCTGCATTGTCCTGCTCCCAGAACCAAGGGGTATCTCTTGTCATCTGGTCCCCAGGAGGTGAGACACTCACATACTTCCACAGTGAGTCATGCCTGGCCTCTCCCCCCTCATTCAGAGAGCTGCAGGGGCGGAGGGGAAACTGAGGTACACAAACACACACAAACACACACACACACACTCTACAGTAGTGACTGTAACAGCACCCCCACTACATCACAGAGGGTGGGAGTAAGAAGCCGCCCCTGCACTCAGCAGCCACGGCCGAGAGGCCCCATGGTTCCACACAGCACGTCTTGGGCTGGTGTGGCGGATGGGGCTTCAGGTGTGCAAGGGATGTAGGTTGGGTGGCCGTTAGCGCTCATGACCAGCTGTAGAGCTGGGATTTAGTCCTGCCCATTGCTCGTGTCCACCCATATCTACCCAGAGGGATTCCACGGAAGCCCACGGCATGACACGGCGACTCGACTCCAGTTTGTCTCTGGAATATCTGCTGGAGTTAGCCACTGGAGTTGCAGCTGGCATTGTATGAGTCCCGTGCAGGGCACCTCACCTTCGTCTCCCAGAAGGCAAGCTAGTGAGGTTGGCCTTCTGGGGAATTGACTCTGATACTGATCAGACCATCACGAAGCTAAAGGTAGGAGGGGAGCAAAGCTGATCATCGCTAAAAATGCACAGGGCAAATTTCAGGCAGGGGTGGGCAATCATTTTTGCAGGACGGGCCACTTAGTGAATGTTGGTAGATGGTCATGTGCTGGCTCCACCCCTAGAAGGGGCGGAGCCTGGGGCAGAAAGGGCGGAGCCTGCAGAGGAAGGGGAGGGGCCTGTGGCAGATGTGGCGGAGCCTAGATCAGGAGGGGCAGGGCCTTGGGCAGAAAGGGCACAGCCTGGGGTGGAAGGGGCGGGGACTGGGGCAGATAGGGCGGAGCCTGTGGGGGAAGGGGAGGGGCCTGTGGCAGATATGGCGGAGCCTGGATCAGGAGGGGCAGGGCTTGAGGCAGAAAGGGCAGAGCCTGGGGCAGAAGGGGCAGTGCCTGGGGCAGATAAGGCGGGGGAATGGGACTAGCCTCCCCCCAGAGTTGTCAGCGGACAAAGGCTTTGAATTAAAAACACAGCAAAGGGCTTGTGTCTCCTGGCCCCATTGCTACCAGCCGCCCGGGGTGGCTGCACTTGGGAGCCCTTTAAATAGCAGCAGCAACCCCAAGCAGCTCCCAAGCCATGCAGTCGCAGCAGGGATTAAGCAGGAATTAAAGAGCCCCATGTCTCGTGGCCTCGCCGCTCCTTGGATAGCACCGCGACGGGGAGCCGGGAGCCATTTACACAGGATCCTGATATAAATAGAAAGCGGCCAGATGCAGGCCGTGGGCTGGATCGGTGTTAGCTGGGCCGGATTCGGCCCTCGGGCCACATCTAGCCCAGCCCTGATTTCAGGGCATTGTTAAGAACAACAAAGAAACAAGCAAACAGCTGCAGCGGCCTTGGCTGGAACAGTCGGAAAGGCAGCATGCACAAAGAGGGAACAGTCCCACCAAACATTACAACGACACCATCAGTTTAACTCTGTCTCTTGGGCTGTAACTGCTAGAAGGAAAATATGAGCAGCAATGAATAATTCCACCTCTGCTCAGGGCCAGTCTCATGGAAACTGCTGAGAGAATTAGACTTCCAAGTACATTGCCAGAGGAGTCAGGATTCACCGGTGGTGTCCGGACCGCTCTCGCCAGGATCACTGTTCGGCTGTGTGCGTGTGCTCCTCTGTGCGTTGTGTTGGCTTGTGCAGACAGTGATGCAGACTCCAAGCGAGCCCCCAAAGACCACGTCAGTTAAGGATGGAAGTCGCCCAGGCAGGTTTATTGTTAAAGTACAATAAGAGTTGTCAGTCTACTCTACCGCACCGCTACACAAATGTACCCCCTGACAATGGACCGAGTCAGCCAGTGATATGGGAATTCATCACTGCCCCTTAGGTCAACCAACAGCAACTCTTTGGGGCCCTCTTTTATCCACAGGTACAAACAAGCTTCACGTCACTCCTGACGTGTCAGGTTGCCACCGCCTGTTACTTAGTTACCATCCCTTCCCTCAAGCTGACTGGAACAGTCGGAAAGGCAGCATAGACAGAGAGGGGACATTCCCACCACACATTTAAGGACTATTTATCACGCCGTCAGTTTAGACCCTGTCGTGACCCTGGGCGGGGTGGAGGCAGGCCTGTTGTGTGTGGGGAGGAAGTTGGTCCTGAGATGTTTCTTCGTGAGGTGTTCTGGGACAGCCTGTCTGGAACATGCTCTCAGCCTGGGCCGGGTACCTCTTAGGTCAGAGTGTTTCTGTGATACCAGCCCTGGCCTTGCCAACTTCTGTGAGCAGGGCCTGCCTCTTGCTTACAGCTTCACGTTAGCGAAGTCTTGACCATTGTTGGCCAGACCTCAGGCCTCATGCCTGGCCTGTGATACGTAGGCTTGTGTTCCAGGCCCTCATCTTACTACAGGTTCCAACCTCCTGGTCCGGCCCCCTTGGGACCTGACCCACCCCGGATGAGGGATTTAGCCAGACCAGGAGTGGTCATTTCTTGACCCCTGCCAACAGCTCCCTTAGTCTGGTTGGCCGGCCTCCTGGCTGGCTCGCCATCTCCTCCCAGCCCCGCTGCCCTGCCGACCCGCTGGGTCTCCCAGCCCCGCTGCCATGCACTGGGTGGGTTCCCCGCCAGCTCCCGGCCCCTACAGGAGTCCCTGCTGCTGGATCTCCACCGGGACTCTTGCTGGACCAGAAAGTCCCCGGTTTCAAGAGTTTCAACCTGCCCATTGTCTAATAAAGCCGAAAACCACACTGCAGACAGATACGTTGATTGCAGTTTATTGAAGAAATGTCATGAAATCAGGGGACTGCTACATGAAATCAACATCCGCATCCAGTAATAGGAACTGTGAAAATGGGCACATAAAAACGCAGGTTCCCCCCTAAAAATGCAGGCGATGAGACACCGACATTGTTTACCTGTGAGAAGCCATGTCCTGATCCCCAAAGCAGGCTCCTCACCCTTTGGTTTCTGCATATCTGTCACTGGGTGCATAGACACCCTCGATCTTGTGACATCTCTACTTCACTGTCATGATCTCCTGGCTCACACAGAGGAGCTTGGGACCACTGTGAGGTTCGTACTGGATCTAGAAAACTATGTCAGGGTCGGTGCTAATGCCCCATTGGCTAGTACGCAAGCTAGAGTCGAGTACAGAAGACGAATCAGTGGGAACGAAGACTAAATTACGTGATGCAGGTAGGGTAAGAAAAATATCCCCAAGAGAAAGGGGAACTGGTAGGAGCAAGATGGACTCAGAAATATCGACACTGCTTCTTATTGGTCACCACACCCCCATGCGCCACACCCACCGGTGAGGGACATGTCACCTCCCAAGAGCGAGGGGGAGAGAGAGGTCTCTGCCGGTCGACTAATATGGACCCTAAGATGGAAATGTGACTCTCTAGTCAAGCCTGATGTTTATTCAGAATAAACAACATCTAGCCATGGATAAAGCCAGACTTGGCTCTCAGTGACGCTGGTGTCAATCTGGATTTGGCTTTACACCCAGGTTACATGGCTCCAAGCAAGAGAGGGAAGATGATCAAAATGGGTGAATTTCTGCTACCACAGAGCTCGTTAACCGGCCTGGCCAATTACGTGTTGGCTGGGGTTGGTGCGTTACAATTGGGAGTTGAGAGGAATGGAGAAAGGGCCTCGGCTTCAAGCCAGTAAAGGCCTCGTCCCACGAGAATGGGACTTGTATGGCACATCCGTGGTATTTTAGGGGACTTTTCCCTCCCCCAGAAGCGGGTGTCTTCGAGTGGTTTGGGGTGTGCCGCCACCAGGAGGCAGTGTCGTATTTCTTCTCGCCAGGCTGCTGGGAATTGGAGACTGGGTTGGCACTTAAGTGCGGACGCTTTTTTTGGTCGAGGTGGTTTTGGAGACGATTTTCACGCTGGAGCTGCTGCCTCCTCCGGAACTGTATCCTCCCACCAGGCCTCTCCCACTGCTGGTGCTGAAGCTGCTTCCTCCGACGCCGAGCCCGGCGGCATAGGCCAGCCCGGATGCATTTCCCAGCCCGGAGCCCAGGGACAGCCCGCTTCCAGAGTTGTAGCTGCTTCCCCCGGAAGAGTGGACCACAGCTGCAGAGCAGAAGAAAGCAGAGGGTTAGACTGTGTGCTTGATCTTCATATGAACAGAGCACCCATAGTAGCCTGTGTGTCTGTGGGTGGTGCACATCTGCACTTGCCCTGGTGCACCGAACAAAATTTATTCTGCACACAGATGGGAAAATTAGAGAGAACGCTGCCAGCACCTCACAGAAGGACGTGAAAATGTACTGTTTCAGATGGCTGAAGAGGCGGAGTTTCCACCGGTCTCTTGGAGCTGTGGTCTCCAACCTTTTTTATACCGGGGACCGGCAAACCCACTCCCGAACTTTTGGCAGACCGGTAACATTTTATTTGCATACGTGCATCTTCATTGTGCAAATAAAAAATATGCAAATGTGCAAATAAAATGCTATCGGTCCTCCAAAAGCCTTGTCCACCAGAGCCGCTGGGGCCCAACAGCCAGCGGTTCGCTTCCTGCCACCTGTCCGGCAACTGAGATCCACTGTCTGGGAGTTCCTCGCACTCTCTAGTCAGTTTCACCGCTATGTAGTTGCCTCGTACTCACTCCCCTTAGTCTCTGCCAGCAGGGTTTGGGGCGCTAAATCCCTTTGACATCAGGCCTTCCAGGTTTGTCTTTCCTTCAGGTCTCCCCTTCGCTCGTTTCAGTAACCCACCCCTGTTCCCAGCCTAAGAACAATGGTCCATTTATCCACTGTCCTCCCAACAGTGGCCAATGCCAGGTGCCCCAGGTACCTGTCTCTCAGAGATGAATGCATCTGCCTCCCCTGCTTTTAATCCTTCCCCAATTGTTGGGCCAAACTAGATATTTACAGCCCCGACTTTTCCTGCCTGTTCTGATTTCACCTCTCTGCTGCCCTCCTGTTTTGACTGAACACCCAATAGGACCCTGTTAGGTCTCTCAGTCATCACCCTACTGAACTTGGGTTTCTCCTGAGTCCTTGTGAGTAGAGCTCTTTCTGCCGAGAAAAGGTGCCCTCAGGGTGGAAATCTCTCTTGTTTGGACTCCAACACGCACAGCCTTGTGTGGGCCTTGCGTTTGTCCCTTTGCACAAGAACGGTTTGCACCCCAAGCACACAAGGAGAGGTTCTCGGGTTCTTTCCCGGAGCTCAGAGAAATACTCTGGCGTCTGTCTCAGTTGTGCCGTACGGATCTGCCAATGCCAAGTTTCAGGGGATTGACGGGTTAGTCTGTTTCAGCAAACAGAACAAAGAGGCCGGTGGCTCCTTCAATACAATTTGGGCATGAGCTTTCATGAAATGCAAGCCCATGAAAGCCGATGCCCAAATTAACCGTGTTAGACTTTAAGGTGCCACAGGACTCCGTGCTGTATCTGGTGCGGAATTTATTGTAGCCTCTTATTGAATCACTAGAAGTTCGACCAGGCCTTGCTCAGATCCTTCACTCAAATACGTTTTGTTTGTCTTCATTTCAATCATTGCTCTGGGGTGGGGCTGGGGAGGAGGGGTACAGGGTGCCCTGGGGAGAGAGGACACCCCCAGCCCTCTCTCAGCAGCTTGGGGCCAGCTGACCTGCACAGCTGGGCACAGCTGGGGAAGGGGGTGCATGTGCCCCAGCTGGGGGACGGACAGACAGACACAGACGGACAGACACACAACTTGACAATCTCTCTGAAATCTATGGTAGATAGCTGTCCCTTCCTCCACCCCATGTCCCTGCTGGCATCCTGCTTTCCCTATGGGGTTATAATTGCCCCAGTCCCCATCTCTAGCCCCTCGCTGCCCCCTTTGGTCATTCTGCGGGATGACTGTCCCACCTTCCAGACCCCTCCCTTTCGTTTTTATGAGCAACAATCCCATTCCAGGCACATCTCATTGTCCTGGCACAGCCAAACCCTGACTTGGCTTCACATTATGATACAATGTAGCTGCTGGCCAGATTTGGAAAGCCTAGCTCTTACTGGTTGGGAGGAGTTCTTGGACAGATGGACAAACAGATGTGCATTTCTAAAATATACAGAAAGATAAAAATATAGGGTGGGGAAGGAGGGAGGTCATCAAGTCCAGCCCCATGGAGTTGATGTAGGTTGAGGTAGGACCATGTAAACATAGACCATCCCTGATGAGTGTCTGTCCAACCTGTTCTTAAAAACCTCCAGTGACGGGGATTTCACATCTGCCCTTGGAAACCTGTTCCAGAGCTTAACTCCACAAGTTGTCAGCCCATTGCACCTCTAGCATTTGAGAGCCAGAATACTTACAGATGTTCACTGCACCGACACCTTCTCCTGCTAGCCTGTTAGAGAGAGGGAAAGGAAGGGTTAGTATGCTTATTGTAAGCAATTAACATCTAGGATTGTGGTTCTGAATATCTTAGGAGGCTAACACCACTAGCATCCCAGCAAGACCAGGCTTCCAATAAGACCTGACGAGAGATTAAAAAGACTGGGACATTTCAGCTTAGAAAAGAGATGAAGTGGGGATAGGACAGAGGTCTATGAAATCGTGACTGGCGTGGGAAAGTGAATGAGGAAAAGTTATTTACTTTTCCCCATAATATAAGAACCAGGGGTCACCCAATAAAATGAATTGGCAACAGGTTTAAAACGAACAAAAGGAAGTTTTTCTTCACCCAGCTCACAGTCAACCTGTGGAACTCCTTGCCAGAGGATGTTGTGAAGACTAGGACTTTAACAGGGTTCAAAAAAGAGCTAGATAGATTCATGGAGGTTAGGTCCATCAATGGCTATTAGCCAGGATGGGTAGGGATGGTGTTCTTAGTCCCTTTGTCTAGAAATAGATGACACGGGAGGGATCATGTGAGAATTCCCTGTTCTGTTCACGCCCTCTGGGGCATCTGGCATTGGCCACTATGGGCAGGCAGGACGCTGGGCCGGATGGACCTTTGGTCCGACCCAGTCTGGCCATTTTGCTGTTCTTATGTTCCTTGGGGAAGTTCTGACACACAACAGGAATGACGCCCCTTAACTTGTGGGAAGATCAACCCATTGTATGTTTGAAATGAGGACAGTCTTAGGGCCAGAAATGCCAGTGATGTTCCCTAACCTAGCCCTGACCAGAGCAGATCTGTCCCAAGTCGAGAAATTAATTCACCACTGGACATAGGGCCAGGGCCGAAGATCTATGCCAGCCCTATGGCTACGTCTACACAGCAAAGACAGACTCGTGGCTGGCCCATGCCACCTGATTTGGATTTCCCGGCCCAAGCCTGAGGCCAGCCGGGGGTGTCTCGCTGCTGTGAGACAGGCCCTGAGCACCTGGAATGGTGCACATGGAATATGTTTGGCAGGAGGGTGCTGACAGAATAGGCAGGCTTTTGGGCAGTTGGGGGGCAGCTCTGTGCTCCTGGAAAGGGTGGGGACTTGGGGGGAAGGAGTAGGCCAGGGGCAGACAGCCCTCAGCACCGCCTAGCAACCCCCCTCAACTGGCCCTGAGCGCCACCTAGCAACCCCCCTCAGCCAGCCCTCAGCGCCTCCTAGCAACCCCCCTCAGCCAGCCCTCAGCGCCGCCTCGCA